ATAGATAGATAGACAGACAGACAGACAGACAGACAGACAGACAGACAGATGATAGATAGATAGATAGATAGATAGATAGATAGATAGATAGATAAAAATCCACTATCACTTTAGATTAGTTTCTTTAAGTAGTTTGTCTCTAAGGAACTGATAGCTTTTTAAAAAGTCTGGATATCAGGAGGCCATTGTTGGAGAGTTTTACTTTAAGTTGCTGAGCTCAAGGTCTTGAAGCAGCATCTGCTTATATACTTAGAGAGTTGCTGGTGCAGAATATTAAACAGAAGGATGCCTGATCCTAACACAGCAGTGAGCTGTTGTGACCAGCAACTAGCTAATGCATAAAGGCCTCTATTAATTAGTATTCCTCTGAAGTTGTTCTCGCAGTGATTCATCAAAATGACAAAAGACTCAAATTCCAGACGGTACAAAACCTTGGCCTAAAATTGGCCTGTCAGTAGGAAATGGAGTAGCAGCTGTCAAGGCACTACAGGCTTCAAGGGAACCTAACTTATTTGTTACCAACCCCTAGTTTTTCACAGCCACGTGCAGCTTTGATAAGTCTGCGCTTTCTGCCGTCAATATGTGAACATTTTCTTCTATCTTTCCCATCCATACATCCTGGGTTTGCCTAGCTGAGTGTGGAGCCACTTCTGTGGCTAGTCAGGGTGTCCTACTGTCCCCCAATTACCCGGCAAATTACGACAACAACCACGAGTGCATCTACCGCATTGAGTCCGACAGAGGCAAGGGGATTCAAATCACAGCCACCACCTTCCAGCTTCACGAGGGAGATTTCCTCAAGGTAAGAATGACCGACATGAGTCATTATATATATATTTGTTTCACAATTATTTAACATATATAAATAATTGTGTAATTGTGTGAATATGCATAATGGATCAAACAGTGAATTAAATACAATTATGTATTAATTTGTTCATTCATTAATTCATTTGTCCAACTAATTAAACTGTAATTTAACAGTAAAACTAATGTTATAAAACGGATAGTTCAGACTCTTAAGGCCACATCAATTGAATTCTATGTTAATGTGGTAACTTGTGAAATTGCAAACACAAAATAGAGTTTCGAGAACTTTGATGAAGTTTGGTGATTGCAACACTTCTGCAATACTGTTAACATGTAACAGTTTGTAATCCATGAGAGACCAGCAAATGGGACTTGGAGACACCATTAACTATTCATAGATTGATTTACGTTACAGTGCTCAAGGCACATGTACCATCACAGAAGAAAGATGGTCCCTTAAGACCAATAAGGCCACTAATTAAGTCACAAATGATGGATAAGTATGAGGTGCTTTAGCAATTCCAAACACATACATTTTGTCACAGTTATAGTGATTCTGTTGCAATGAATCATTCAAATATTGTCTGTCAGCGTTAAGGGATATTTGAATTGAATCTGTCTCAGCAAATAAGGTCTTAGACTTGTATATCTAGCAAGGTTTGCCAGATTTATAAGGAAACCGCTATTCCCTGGTTACTGATGTTATTGATTGGCCGTTTTAGTTCATTTCAGCTGATTTTTGAGGCTGTTTTATCAGTTTGCACCATTGTAGAAAATCAGCAGAAACAATAAGTCTGTTCTTAGACCAGTGGCCCATTCTGCACATGCAACCTGGAGTCACATGATATTTTCCATTAAAGCTTAAAACGGTGTCCTCCGCAACAGAAAAGTGGAAAACTGCTGCTTGACATTGATTTATGACCTTTAATATTTTTTTTTCCCTGTGCCATAGTGTTTTCCACCCTCTCTTTGCAGAGGTTATTGTTTCAAAATATATGCAATTTTGAAAAGAGATTACATAATCCAGACACCAAAAGACAATATTTTGAGAAAACACTTGTTTGTTTGTTTTTTATTTAATTTTTTTTTTTTTTATGTTATTTATTTATTTATTTACTGAGGAAATCTTATCAGAATAAACAATTCTGAGCTTGACTGCTGACAAAACAAGTAAACATTCCTGCTTCTTTTGGTCTTTGGTTAAAAAATCAAATACTACTGCTCTAATTACAAGAAAGAATGAGTAGAAACAAAGACTGTAAAGACACAGCATGTGCAAGAAGATATTACGGTTTTAATTGCTGGTCAGAGACAGTCTAATAATATCCTCATTATCCACTCTTCATTATTTCCTCGTTAAGACTACCACCATCTTCCCAGCCAAAACAAGGAGAATAGTAAATGCATTAAAGAGCAGCTCAGCGGGGTTTATTGTTTTCAGACATATTTTTGGAAACAGCTTTACCTTGAGATGTCTCTGCATTGGAAATGTGCTTTAACCAATCACATACAGAAAGAAAAGACAGCATGTTTGAAAGGGTGATCTTTGAGTTGAGCATATGCTGTGCTGGTATTAATTTGAGGTGGGCTCCTGGGGGCTGCATAGGTAATTGTTGTGAGCAGGTGTACCTTTTATTGCACCACCTTTATGCCATTATCAAGAAAGAGGCTGATCCAGCCTGCCAGGGGGTTGATTTCAGGTGGCCAGATGTCTTTTTTACCATTCAAATTGGCTTACCTTGATCCTGCCTCTTTACAGGTTTTGACCTTGTCAAATGTGAGGAGCCGGGGACACCTAATTATTCAATTTTACAAAAAACGACATGTCTGATGTCATCCTCAACAGCACGTCCAACCATCTTTGGATGGAGTTTAACAGCAATGGTACCGGTACCAGCAAAGGATTCAAGCTGTCGTACAGCAGTAAGTTGAACGACATTCCAATAAAGGCTCCATCCCGCAATCACACACTGATTCTTTAGAAACGGCTACAGAAGTGAACAAATAAAGCTTTATGTATAAAGTAATTATTTTAAATTAATCTTATAAGCATGTCTAATAGTATTAACCTGTGTTTGGGTGAAATCTCTTGCTTCTTCATTTTTCCCATCCAAGTGTGTTTTCCTTACCTATCACTTAATATAAAATCACAATCAATATACTGACACTTAGATTATATTTACTGTAAACACTGACAAATCTAGCATTCACTTTGATTAAAAATGGATAAAAGATGGTCTTAAACTGATTTTCAGCTCAATCTATTGAATTGTTACCACTGTGAGACACTGTGTTAATTTGATGCCTGACTGCTGACAGTTTTGACAAAATTATTTTTTTATCAAAAGTTGTGAAATATATATATATACCATTCAAATTGGCTTACCTTGATCCTGCCTCTTTACAGGTTTTGACCTTGTCAAATGTGAGGAGCCGGGGACACCTAATTATGGCTACAAAATCCAAGACGATGGCCATTTTGCAGATACATATGTTTTGTACAGTTGCAATCCTGGATACACACTACATGGAAGCAGCACGTTAACGTGCCTCAGTGGAGACCGTAGGGTGTGGGACAAACCACTTCCATCTTGTATTGGTGAGTTCACAACAAAATGTTTTTTTTGTTTGTTCTTTTGTTTTTGTGATTTACTACATACAATCATTCTTTATAATGTAAAGAACATTCTGTGAAAATGTAACCATGATATATTTAATATTGACTGAGTAGGGTCATGTCAACGATTGAAACTATAGTGAAATTAATGGTTGAAATCAAACTTTGATGCTTGTTATCTCATAATTAGATGTTGAGACTGTAGCCTGGATTTCACAGACGGGGTCACATTTGATCTTTCAAGTAAATGTTTTCCCATTGCTATTAAATGTTTGTCAGGGAAAGGCTCGAGTTCCTATCCCTCACGGAAACCTGTCAAAGAGTCTCTTAATTGGTTGTCAACATTTGTCATCACTTCCAAATCTTCAGTGAAAAACAGGTGAAAAAAAAAAAATCAGTGTACTGGAAAGGATGAGCAGCAAAACAAACCTTTATTACATTACATTAAAATATATTCTGATACAAGTGTTTTTATTTAGAATTAAAACTGTATTAATGAAATTGAAGACAGTTTTGGAAATAAAATATAATACGCAATCCATTTTATATAAAATGACTGTCAAATCACCTTAAAATTAACCCTTTGCCAATGCATGCAATGATCTAATGGATCAGGAAACTTACAGTGTTTAGTGATAAACAGGTGTTTGGCAGTGTTTCTTTATATCTGGTGTTAGGCAGTTTAGCCCAAGGGGCATTTAGTTCTGTTGTACCCTATACCATATATTTGGCTTGGATTAGTTTATTTTTTTATTTTTTGGTTCAGCAAATTTTGATAGTAAAGTTCAACTGTTGAACTGCTCCTCTGCCCTCTCCAACTCATGTAACAGATTGTAATCCAAGAGAGATCAGCAAAGGGAAGTCCATTATCTATTCTCATGTTGCAGTTCTCAAGGAAAATATACCATCACAGAAGAAAGGTGATGAAGTTTGATCATGTTTCCCAAAGCTGATATTATATTTAGTATTTCAGTATGTAGAGTATACGGACCCTCAGAGCTTTCTTTTGCTTTATCTTTTTTACGATTTGTACTTTATTGATTTTCTTATTTAGAGACAAAAGTGATTTAAACAATCATGTACTTGACATATAAGCAACTCACAAAACATACACAAAACAAAATAGTTAGTCAATAAATGGTAACAATATAAATAAGTCAATAAGTAAATAAAATAGTATAAATAACAAGGGAAAAAAAGCACCACTAAAAGTTTCCACTATAAGCTAAATCATATTCACCATGACCATTGTTTGTCTCGTCACATGCTTGCTACTGCTGTGGATTATAGAAATTAAAAATTTTCCCCCGTTTATCCAAATAAATATCAATCCTAAATGATAGATTTTGAGTTTTGAGGGCTGCCACTCACCCTAAATCCGAAAGCCACTCAAAAACCGGAGGCCTTAGAGAAGATTTCCAGTTTTTTACGATCACACGTCTGCCCAGCATGATGCAGCTCTGTATCCACTGTGATTTGTTTTGTTTTTGTAACATGACTTAAAGGTTGAGGGTCACCAAGTATGTACAAACTAGTAGATCATACTGGGTCTGCGATATCTTTAAAATATAATAATGTACCTCTCTCCAAAAATACCGGACTTCTGAGCATCGCCATAAAACATGAACTATGGATAATCAGGATTATCCTTAAAACCCACTCTAAACAACCTTCTGTGTGTCCAGTAAAATCTGTGTAACATTTTAAATTGTATGATACATGTCTAATATCTTCTAATATCATATTTTAAATTTCCAGTGATCTTCTCCCATTCTTCATCTTCAAATGTGCATCCCAAATATTTTCCCCAGATTATCTTAACCGCAGAACTAATATTTTGGCCCATCTGACTAATAAGTATTTAGATGCCTCATGGCCAGTGGCCATAATATTCCAGATCATCTTGAGAGTGTTTTTACCTCTGGGAGCATATGACGGGGAGGCAAAGATACTTGTGAGCATATGTCTCATCTGCAGATATCTCCAGAACTGATCATTAGTCAAGATTAATTTTTGCTTCAGTCTCTCGAAATATATTTAAGCATCATCTTCATAAAGATCCTCCAGAATAGTTATATTTTTATCTTTCCATTACTTCCATAACACAGATGTTCCACCTATTAACATCTTTGGATTGGCCCATATAGCAGATGAAGGGCTTAGAAAAGGGTCCACCACTAGAATAAAATAGGTCTTCTTCCAAACAGTTTGGAGATGGGAAATAATCAGATGATTATGCACTGGTAGTGGTTGTTTTGTTTTGTTATGTTATGAACTCATATGGTATAAGCAGACAAGCAGATTTTTCCATGGCTAGCCATGGGGAGCTCACTCTGGAGGTAATTTGAGGTTTCTTCCCATTCCACAAAAACTGTTTGCATATCTTATCAAATATACTGAAACATCCTGAATGGACAGGCAACGGACAGCATTGACTTTGCCCCAAAGGGAAAGAAAAAAGGGCGCCCATCTTGCAGGGTCAGCTGAATTTTTTTTTCCAATAGGGGGCCAAGATTGACTTTAGCAATATCCTTAAACCGCTGGGGAAATGTAATTCCTAAATATACAATGCCCTTGTCAGGCCATTTAAGTGCACAGGTCAGAAACAATGATTTTGGACAGTAAGCAGTCTGGGGTAGAGCCTTGGACCAATTGACTTTGCATCCAAAATGATTTATCATACTAAGTAATGCGGAAGTTAATTAGTTGGATCTGTGGCAAAAAGCAAAATATAGTATGCACAAAGCATCATTTTCTGAGTTGAGCCCCTAACAACTACCCCAGGGAAGCTGGTATTTCATGAGCTTCAAAAAAGTAAAGGGGAGAGTGGGCAACCTTGACGCGTACCTCGACCCAATCTGAAGTATGGAGAAATAACGCCGTTAGTTTGCACAGCAGCCTCTGGATGTTTATATAAAGGCTTCACCCACTTTATAAAAATTGAGCCAAATTCCAAAAGTTTCTAATGCTTTGAACAAGTAAGGCCACTCAACACAATCAAATGCCTTCTCGGCATCATGTGACACTGCAGCAATAGGCGAGTTATCATTCCTGACTGCCCACATAACATTTATGAAACGTCTAATATTATCAGAAGAATACCTATTTTGAATAAAGCCAACCTGATCAGGGTGTATTAGAGCCTTTTTGTAAATGATTGGCAAGAATTTTAGAGAGTATTTTGATGTCTAGAGGAATCAATTATATTGGTCGGTAGCTAGAACAATCAGCTGGGTTCTTCCCCTTCTTTAAAATTACTGAGATCAAAGCAGTGTAAGGAGTGTTAATTCTGAGGAGTAACATTTAAAAAACTCAGCTGTGAACCCGTCTGGTCCTGGAGCCTTTCCTGTTGTCAAATTCTTAATCACTTCTGAAATTTCATCCTCTGTTATAGGAGAATCCAAGAGCTCCCACTGATTCTCACTAAGAGATGGAATATTAAGTCCACGGAGGAAGTTTTTAATTTCTTCCTTAGAGGAGCTACTGTAAGATGTGTACAAATGTAGATAGAAATCCCCAAATGCATTAATATCCATGACCTTGTTTACAAGGCCTCTCCCAGGGGTTTGGATAGCACATATTGAGGCAGAGGATTCCCCTTTGTTTAATGTATCTAGTCAACATTTCCCCTGCTTTATCTCCAGATTTATGTCTAATTCTGAACAGGTCAAATTCTACTTTCTGAGGAAGGATATTATTATATTAATACTTTAGCTTTACTAAGAGTCTAAGTTTACTTTGATTCATTCTCTGCTTAAAATTATTTTCTGCTTTGAGCTGCCCTTCTAGTACAGACAACTTATTACGCTCTAACCTTTTCTTAGCTGAGGCATACTGTATAATGACCAGTATCCAGCTTGTAGTCAACAAGTATCCAGCATACATGTGAATTCCTTCAATACTGTTAAAAAGCATCCCAAAATGCACCTCATAAAGTTGATTAAGTGAATGTCTAGAGGGAGCAGAGCTAGAATCTATACCATGAAGAAGCTCAAACATAATAGTATTAATAATAATGAATTTGTACAGTGACTGTCCAAATATTTTACCTTGAAGTATCATGTAAATACCTTGATACGTGAATTGAGGAGCTGTATATCAAGTACTCAGCTATTATCATCTGATACCATCACTGTACCATGGTACCACCAAAGAAATGGATTGTGTGACGGAAAGATCATGTCATCAGATCAGGACAGTTGTAGAGAATAGTATAGTAGTTACTGTGGTAGTTCATGCCTAAGCAAAGTTATCAAAACACCAAAGCACAATACTTTGCATGCCACACAAAACAGCACCACAATGAAAGTATGTATCAAGCAATTACAAATACTTGATCTCAAATAATTATTTTGATATTTAAATTAAAAAAAGGGTTGTATACTGAGCATGAACCGAATGCAAGAGTGTCTTCATACTGTAATTCTGATGACGAGAACGTCCTTACCAGACTCAACTTTAGTAATTGCATGTGAGACCCAGGAGCAAATAAAGTGCTCGAGGGGGGTGGAGAGAAGCTCTCTCACTGTGGTTAGCATGAGGTAAATGATTACTCTGTGTAAGTATACTGCGCTGGGCCTACAGAGAGTATTTTAGGATGGACACATTACGGTCTTTACCATGCTGTACTCATTTCTTAATTAAAACTTCTTGAGCAAGATGTAGTTTGGTGTGGAAAATGGAGAATACTGCCTTAAGCCAACTTTGTACAATATGCATTTATTTGAATTAGTCAGCATAATAAACCAATTTTCTATTTTCTCTGCTTGCTACATAGCATACACAATGGCTAAAAATACCCATAGTGTACTATAATTTAATTTCAATGCAGCTTCATATTTGGATTATACTTAATGGTAAAGTTTAAAAATCTCCCGTTGCTTACTCTGCTTAATGGTTCGCATTCAAGATGCAACCTTCAGCTATGATGTAATCTTATATTTGCATACAGACTTCCGATTGGGATTCTTCCATGCATACTGAATAGTCATTTGTGTCATATTAATGTATTTTGTACTAAACTGAAACTTGATTTATTGTTTTGTTGCATTGTACACGCTATTATTTCTTTCTGGAAATGCAAATCTAGTTAAAGGCCTTAATTTGTTTTGTGTGTGTGTGTGTAGCCGAGTGCGGAGGACACATTAGCGGCGCCACATCTGGACAGGTTCTGTCTCCTGGTTACCCAGCCCCCTATGACAACAACCTTCACTGCACCTGGTCCATTGAGGCGGACACAGGCAAAACCATCAGGTACGAAAACTAGTGCTTGAAACCATGTTATGTTTTTTACCACCCCTCCTATAATTTCCATATAATTCCCATACAACCATAAAGGAGCATGGTGATTGCATTTCACCCTGCTGCGCGGCCTACCACTGGCTGGCATCTGCTCCTACAAGTGCATTACCGTTGCACAGAGGGGGAGGGTTAGTGAAAGGGCAAAAATAATAGAGACACAAAAAGCGATAAGCCAGTTAAGCCTTCAAAAATGGAGCAAAACTCAGGTAAGCTAATTCGGTTGATCCGTTTAAGGAGAAAATGGCTTATAAATAGCAGATAAAAGGAGAAGTTGTAAGAGTGGGATGTAATCCATACCATCAGGCTTGAGTCATGGCATTTGCGTGCTGCAGGTTTTTAAACTATTTCTATACATACAGGGTCCAGAATGAATGCTCGTCAAGCACCGAATGCCAGTAAAAATTGAGTTTGGCGAGCAGAGTATGTGAGTGGAGTGGAGCAGCAGCAATTTCCCCTCCACACTCAAAGCGTCTGTAATCACTCCGCTACAACTCCACTCCATCTCTCGCTCCCAGCTCCCAGGTGAAAGAAACCGCTCTGTGACTTCGCTCCATCGCATAAATTTGCACAGTAACGGCTCCACTGTAAAGTTCTTTTTTAACATCGTCTAGGCTCGAGATGTATTAGGTGAAAGCATGTTTGCGTAATTCTGTACAGTTGCGAGGGTGTTGCATTAGTATGATGACATGGTTGTTCGTAATTTTCAAAAGACTGCACTGATGTTTTACCCACCTTCAGATTTTATTTTCATATGTTAAAGGAAAATGTCGTTTTTCCCCCCGTCTTTTTATTTTTAATGGTAACTGTAACAACGTTCGTAGGTCGGGAAGAAGGAGACGGGAACCGGCGAACATTTAAACAAAACTTTAATAAAATAAACACAAAATGAAAGTAAAGCGGCAGCCCCTCGCGGACGACTGCCGCACACAAAACACAAAATAAAGTCCAGGCCTGGTCCTCTCTCGTCCAACACTGTCGTCACTCCTCCTTTTATCCTTCCGGAGCTCCTCCGTGGGACTCGAGACCGGTGAGTGGCGCAGGTGTCGTGCATTAGCATTTACTCCACCGGCCTCGCTCCGTTCCCACGGCTCTCGGCCCCGCCCCACTCGTCACAGTAACATTGAACTTAAATTTGTTAAATAAATTTATATAAACAATATAAATATTTAAAACAATTTATTAATAAATAATGTGTAATTTAAAATTATTCATAATATTTTTATTTAATTTTTATGCAATACAAGTTATTGCCATAACATTATGTAGGTTCATAATACCATTCCATTGCTGGCAAAAAGGACCCTGCTGGTGAATGAAATGTCACTTATGAGTGTTGTGGAGTTATTTGAATGAATAACACTGTGTTTGTGGAGAGCAGAACTCGTGGTTGTCCACCCAAACATCCCACAGAGACAGTCACTGTTGTGACTTAAGTTGATCAGTGCTGTGTTTACATGCAAGCTGCAGAGCTGTGCTCGACTCAAGGAGGTCAGACTACAGCCCTGTTGAGTGCAAATAATATAAATCCCAGTGGCGCAGTATAGGAAAAAATGTTTTGTTTTCTTTTGTTTTGATCAGTTCAGTGCTGTGGAAAATATATTTTGAATGAATTAAGTGATTATTATATTATTGTCAAAGATAATCCAGACATATTAATAAAGTCATATTTTGAGGAATCAAATTTATCTTTTTTTATATATATAACAGTATTTTGTAACATTCTGAACTCAAACCTGCTTCTTTTGTGAAACAAAGCCACTTTTTTAAAGGTTATTATTTGTTTTACTCTTTATCCAGAAACACTTTAATAAACCTATAATAAATTATATTTTAGAACTGGAATTAATTTCACTGGAAGTTGAGTGTTCCGTCATATCCGTACACGGAAATATAGCTCCAGCTGTGGGTAGCGTGAAGCTAAAAGTTTATTTGGCGTAACAAACGAGAACAATTGATGATGATGATGATCATTCAAAATGGCAAACCTCCTGGGAATCACCAGTTGTAAAAACAACAATAACAGCAGCAGCAACAACAAACAGTTATTTAATTGTCTATCCACTCTAATAAGATATCCTGTATCTGTGCCTCAAACCACATTCGAGGAGTGTAACCGAAGCACAGAGAAAACAATATTCTTCTGCAAGATGCATGCAGTTCTTTTTTTTAAATGCCAAAGGGCCATAAGTTACACATTTTACTTTAGCTTTAATTATGAATTATGAATACATTTTTAGAACATATATTTGCAAAGTCTGGAATTCAGATTTTATCAAATAATTGAAATGAATTATATTTTAATTTGCAAGTGTTTTGTGCTTATTATTATTATTGATGCTTATTATTATTCATGTTTTTGAATGTCTTTGAAAGAAAATAAAACAAAATGTAATATTCTCGCTATGTTTGACCTTCCCAGCCTTCACTTCATAGTCTTTGACACGGAAGTGGACCATGACATTCTGAAGGTCTGGGATGGACCAGCAGAGAGTGGCATTCTGCTGAAAGAGTGGAGTGGATCGCTTTTACCCGAGGACACTCACAGCACCTTCAACATCCTCATGCTCCAGTTTGACAGTGATTACTTCATTAGCAAGTCCGGTTTCTCCATCCAGTTCTCTAGTATGTATCAGCTTCTCCTTGACTGTGTTGAGAATAGCATATTCTAGCTTATATTAGCATATTGCTCTATCTTTGCAGTATGCATACCGCACACTGTATGCAACTTTTCAATATGCATGGTAACTGGAATGCGCAGTATACAGCCTAGCGTGATGCATGGAATACTCCATTCCATGATGCAGTGTGCTCACCTTGTCTTTCTATTTCCAGCATTAAAAGCCTGGAAGTAATGTTGTATCAGCATACATTTCTTTCTTGGCTCATTTTTTGACTTGAATGCCAAAAATCAGTTTTTAAATTCAAAATACAAAATAATTGTATATCTAATATGTTAAGTATGTCATATAATAAATGCAATAGCAGGCAGTATGGTCTATAGTATAGTGTATGCCGTGCAGTATGCAGTAAGTAGTGAGCTATTGTTCTAACAAAGCCTTTTTCTCTTGTTAATTTCCTTATTATACACTATTTATGTATTTTTAAGTGGTTATGGAGCATATGTTTGTTAAAGCAGAAACCATTGCATATTTCATTTGACTTGTTGACAGTGATGTGATATGATTGATGAAGTAGAATTAAAAGAAAATCTCCATAAACATGAGTTTAACACCATCACATATGTGAGCTGCTGTGCGTCTTGGCATATTTAGTCAAGAGCAGAGGTCCATTCTCTCATGAATAAGAGATTTTCCACTCTCTCTAATGTCTCACTGATCCACAGCTGATTCAAAATGTATCTTTTTATTTCAGCTACAGTTGCCACGACCTGCAACGACCCAGGGACCCCTCAAAATGGGACACGCTATGGAGACAGCAGGGAGCCTGGCAACACCATTTCCTTTCAGTGTGACCCTGGGTACCAGATTCAAGGAGTGTCTGAAATCACTTGCGTTCAACTCAACAGCCGATTTTTCTGGCAGCCGGACCCACCCACCTGCATTGGTGAGATACGACTTGACTCTGTGCTTTTTAGTTTCCTTACTGGAAAGCTCCTTCTAGTAAGGAAAAAACGATATGCTGTTAAATGCATTCCTTTATTTTAAAAGTGAAGTATTAATATAAATGACAGCTGTCAAAGCAGTACATTAATTTAGAATGAACAATAAACAGATCTGTAATAACTTTGCAAAGTATTAAACAATAAAAACTCAAATAATGACTTTGCATAAGTATCCGTGATCTGAGGAACACTCCAGTTTCTCTGGGATGTTTCTGCAGTTTGATTGGAGTCCATCTACTGCAAATTCAGTTGACTGGACATGTTTTGGAAAGGCACACATCTGTCTATATAAGTTCTAAGATGTATTAAGGTATAACAGGTCTAATGCATATTCGATCAAAACTAAGCCATATAGGGCCATAATTTAACGATCTAAGTGCATGGTCTAAAGCGCACGGCGTGTCCGAATCCACTTTTGCTAGTTTAACGATGGGAAAAACGGTCGGCATGCCAGGTGCCGGGCGCATGGTCTAAAAGGGTTGTACCTATTCTCTTAATGAGTCATGGGTGTGTGTTGGGCGTAACGTGCCATAAGCCAATCAGAGTCTCATCTCCCATTCCCTTTAAAGGCCAGTTGCACTTGCGCCATGGCGGATTCGCTATTTACATTGCGGAATTTGCAAAAGCAAAGACTGAACGCTTCTCCAGAGTGGAAAGGTTTAGACAGGTGTAAACATTAAAGGTTTTTACATTGTAATCCTTTCATTTGTAATATTTGGCATGTTTGTGCGCTGCTGCACGTCCCTGTGTGTGTAATAAGCAGAGTGTACGCGCGTTGTTCACCCGCCTATAGGCGCATATTACTAACGTGCTCTTTAATTAACAAAAAATATTGCGCCATTGACTTTAGACCAGGTTTCAGTTGGTCAAAGGCGCAGTCTATTTCAGTTGCCTCAAAATAGCTATGCACCAACAGTGCGCCTGAACACACCTAATTTTCAGACCATTTGCGTAAATGGCTGCAAATGCATTTGTATTTAAACAGCGTGGCACAGAACGTGAAAATGATAACTGTGTCGGCCTGAAACTAGCAAAAAACACTTTCGTCATGCCTGGCGCCGCATTGCGCCGGGTGTATGGTAGGGCCCATAATGTCTAAGTGGCCTCTCCTTAGGACATGACACATGAAAACCTGCTTGAAATTTGCAAAAGCACCTAAAGGACTTTCAGTTATGAGAAAAATATTCTCTGGTCTGATGAACTTCAATTCCAAGTGACATGTCTGGAGAAAACCAGGCATTGCTAATCACCTGCACAAGTACCATCCCAGTGGTGAAGCATGGTGGTGACTGCACTCCATCGTGCTGCAGAGGAGTTTTTCAGAAGCATTGGGAATGTCCGTGGTAAAAGGAAAGCTGAACACAGCAAAGTACAGAAATGTCCTTAATGAAAACCTGGTCCGGAACCCTCTGGACCTCAGACTGGAGGTTTAGCTTCCAGTTGTACAATGACTCTTAAGCACACAGCCAAGACAACACAAGGGTAGCTTATGTACGACACTGTGAATGTCCTTGAGAGGCTCAGCCAGAGCCCGGACCCAATCAAACACCTCCTGAGAACCTTGAAAATGGCTGTCCAACAAACATGTCTCCATGAGAGAGCTGAATACTTTCGCAAAGGCAATGTATATTAACATCTAAAACCATCACTGTACCATTGTACCACCATAGTACTTTTTTGTAACTCTACTCAGTTGTCCACTACCAATCATAAAGTCATAGCATTACAAAACTCTTCTTAGCGTTCATGTCTGTATTGAGTGATCTTCTAGAGATTTAAGAGAGATGCATATTAGCTCAGCGTTATAGGGAAAAGCAGAGCTGTCTCGCCCACTGCATTACAAAGTTGCTTTTATATTATTACCATGACCTTCTCTCAGACCTCCAGTATTTTCTGCTTATGTTCTCTCTTTTTTTCAGTCAGGCTGTATGCTCTGCACCTTCTAAGGATGTTAAAGAATAGCTTTTTTCTCCAGTGTCCCTATTGACTTTTTTTGATGTCATGCTTTGCCAGTTGCCATGAAATTCTACAAGGTCCTCTCGGGTTCAGGAAGCAAAAATCCCATTCATCCTGTCCATAGAGAAATTGTAATGATAATATTGAAACCGTTCAAGGCAGACCTAGCATGAGCTCAAAAGTTGTTCAGGGATGATATACTTTTGTACCTTCATTAAACAAAAAAAAAGTTTAATTGCTGAACATTACCCAGAATTCTGAAGGGAAACCCACCAATCAGAAAACTGACTGTTTCCAAGGAGAAAGGAATCATGGCAATCTGACTCTGCCCACAACCTCTCTGTACTCTCACACAATTTTCATATTTGTATATATTTTACTATTTTGTCATAAATATGTAATCTGTCTAATTTTATACGTTGGGCAATAACTTGGTCAGTAGTTTTATAGTTTATTGACATTATTTCAGTCTTTTGAAATGCTTCATGGGGTGTAGTTCATTCTGTCATCAAATGCATTAAGTGCACAGTTTTTATAGCAGTATTTGCTCCGTACCAAATTTTTAATGTTGTGATCTCAGAGCTTGTTGATTTGGTTCATGGATTAGACTATTTTTAATTGAAAATTTGTTTTAGATAGAGAATTACTTCCAGAACCAAAGCCAGCAAAAATTGGCAGGTCCTATTATAACAGTGCTGCTCATCAATAATTTTTTTTTTCTTCAATCAATGTAGTCAGATCGCATCTGCAATTCTCTTAGATGGTTGGGTAATAAAGTCCTGCCTGATCTCCTTCACAATTCATCTTAGTTTCATTTATTGATTATTATCATTTAATGTTAGTTGTCCTGCTATATTAACTGATGAGCTCAGAGGAATCATCCTGTAATCAGGCAGCTGTAATATTGTTTATTTTTGCTGTGTTGAAGGATCACATTAAATAATCTCTCGTCCTCACTCTCCTTGTTATGACAGCTACCTGCGGGGGCAATGTGACAGGGCCTGCTGGGGTAATTCTATCACCCAACTATCCCCAACCCTACCCACCAGGAAAAGAGTGTGACTGGCGGCTAAAAGTCAACCCTGACTTTGTCATCGCTTTAATCTTCAAAAGGTAATGTGCTCATACAGCGCCGAGTGCCTCTGACTCTTATGCCATCCGAAGGGGTGTAACATCTTGTGAATTGAGAAATGAATTTTCCCTTATCTTTTGACATATAATAATTAATTTTGCTACAAAAAATATACTGTAAGATTCAGAACTCAAACCTTCCTCATTAGTCCAAAAATGGCTTTAATTGAAACCAAGCTGGCAAAACAACTTATTTAGTACTTCCTCCTTTTTATTACACAATAGAGATTAATACATCAGCACAAGACTCCCTGCACAGACACAGATCCACGCCAACTACTTCATTAATGCCTCTTTGGCCCATCCACAGATTTTGCAAATAGACTTTTTTTTTCAGAAATGTATAGATCTGACAGTAATGCCACAACATATAGGTAGCTGTTTTAATTCTAATGCCTAATCATACAGAAGTTGAAAAATAATAATCTGGCCAGAGGAGAACCGGCCCCCGACTGAGCCTGGTTTCTCCAAAGGTTTTTTCTCCATTTCTGTCACCGATGGAGTTTTGGTTCCTTGCCACTGTCGCCTTTGGCTTGCTTAGTTGGTGACGCTTGACTGATTGCACAGACACTATTGAAAGAGAGCTGAACTGGATGATGAAATCACTGAATCATCAATGATCTGACTTTAGCTGGAAAATGACTCTGTTATTGTCTTCTTGCATCATTGACAAACTATTTTCCTGCTTGACACTGTAAAGCTGCTTTGACACAACCAGTATTGTATAAAGCGCTATACAAATAAAGGTGACTTGACTTGCATTATGACCGTTATGTTGTAAAAATAAAGAAATAAATAAATACATTAAAAAAATCATATTAATATTATACGTTCACCTCAGGAAACATTATAAAAAAATATAAGTAATAATAATAAAAATTACAGATTACATTGACAATCAATGCCACCAGTCAGAGTTTGTTTTTAATTCACGAATGTTCCATATGTTTAATAAATGCACTTTTATTTTATAGATCATGGTGGGGCACTTCATTATCCCAGAATACTCTAATTTACCCTAAAATCTTCAAAATGGCACCAGACTGCATGGAGCAGGTTTAAAAGATGAAAAGCTGAAACAGAATTTCTAAGAAGCTGATGAATGTTTTTTTTTTTTTGTACTTAGGGGTGGAAATGCATCAGTGTCGAAACTCATTTCACGAATTCAAATCATTGCAATTTATTATGTCGTGTATCTGAGCCCTCACACACAAATCCACAATCGCAATCATCACCTCACATACTTGAATCTTTAGAATGATTATGACTCTGATTGCTTACTGTATGTTTCACCCAGCCAAAGTGATCAGGCTTTCATGGACTTCCATTATAATTACAAAACAGACCAACTAGAAAGAAGGATTTACTTCTGGAAACTAGTGGGCTTTCTGATGAAGCAGGTTATGCAATGATGTATGGGTTGAACGCTTGTTGAACATCCTTGTTTATTAAAAGCATTTATCAATTAAATAATAAAAACGCTCTCTTCAAGTTATTGTATGCTTATATCAATAATAAGATTAGAAAACAATATTTATTTACATACATCCAAAACTTAACATACGCTTGTATCTGAAAGGGCATTGTCAAATTTATATCAAATGAATATAAAACTAGTGGCTTTAAATTTAGTACATTGGTGGGACCTTATGCATAATGCCTCACAACTGAAACAAAATATCTAGGAATCCTTAATTCTTTCTCCCATTTGTTGTGCAGTTTTAACATGGAGCCCAGCTATGACTTCCTCCATATCTATGAAGGTGAGGACTCCAACGGACCCCTAATCATCAGTCTGCAGGGGAACCAGGTTCCTGAGCGCATCGAGAGCAGTGGAAACAGCCTTTTTCTGGCCTTCCGCAGTGATGCCTCCCTGGGGATGTCTGGTTTTGCCATCGAATATAAAGGCAAGTTTCACCTTGCAGATGTATGGTTTGTTCCCTTGAGGGGAGGGCTTGGGAAACAAGTGAAGCACAACCACTGGGTCAGTGTTCACTTTCAGATTGTCTTTAAGGGCGAGTGTCATGAAAACATGTCCAGGTCACATACCAAATAAAACTTTTAGTGGTGCTGAGGACAGATTTGTTTTTGCATTTTGTCATTCAAACACATTATTCTTGGATTCTCCTTGTCATTGAATGCTTTTTTGTTTCTCATCATTATTAATCTTTTTATAATTTTTGTAATATTATTATTTGCACATAATACATATGAGTTGGATAATCAAAATTATATGATGAGGAAATGTACTTAATTGCCATGAAAGTGCAAAAAAATCGTAACAATCCTGGAAACAGGCTACTTATAATTTCTTGTTTCTTTCTTTTATATTTGGAGAGAAATATGACCTAGAGATGTCCTTGATGGGTTTTGCTCAAATGTAATTCTCTTGGCTATAAAAGCTTGTTCTTTTTAGGAACGTCAGATAGTTTTGACTGCTATGTCAGTTAAAGCTGATGGACCCTGCAGTAATTAAATTTGCTTTCCTCTTAAATTAGTAACTATGGATTTTTTTCTTCTTCTGTCTTTTATGTGGACTGTAAAGGCTGGTAAAATATCTGAATTATCTAAGAACTGTGTCTTGGATGGAATTAGGTTCAGCATGACAATGGCTAATGTTGAGCAGCCCTTTTGTAACTTACAAATTCAAATAAGAATTAATCAATACTGTAACACCACTGCGACCCTGATGACCAGATAAGCACTCTAGAATTCTGCAACTATTTTCTGCTCACCCTAAGAAGATGAGGCTGAGGGAGCTCTGACACCTTAAAATCACCCACTGAATTTTTTTATATATTTGAGATGCTGATATTTTAAGACCCCACTGAATTCCATTTGGAGCGCTTTGTGGCTTTTAGCCCCATGTCTATTAGATTAGATCAGTATGCTGGCGTTTTTCCTAAATTTGACTTCTAAATAATTATTTCTGTTCCAGGAAAGTGAACAAAAAGGATTGATGACTTGTCTTGCACTCAGGGGCTCATCCAAAATTTGGTCCAGTAAAATGGTCTCTATGAGAATGCCCCCTGAGTAGCAATAACAAGTAGTGAATATTTAATCACAGATAGAAAGTAAATTTTAAGGTAAAAGCAAAGATTTTGTGTGTATATATATATATATATATATATATATATATATATATATATAAAAACAAAAATATTAAAACAATAAGCCCCAAGAAGCCATGGTTTACTAAAGCAATAAGCCCCAAGAAGACAGCTAATTTATAACAGCTAAGGGGGTTTTAGGCAACAACGCCCTAACAACGCCCCTTAGCTGTTATAAATTCACTGTAAACCACGGCTTCACGGGACTTATTGCATTTATAAAACGGTTATTCCATATACGTAGTAAGGTTTCACTAAATTAACCAGAGCAAATAAAGTGTAATGATATTAATAAAAACAGTATTCTTCCACCAAACAATGTAGTTCCTCAGAATCAGTTGTGGTTGCAACAAAGTGGTTGCCAAGCAACAGACAAACGTAAACAAAGGTGTATGTTTG